TACTACTACTACTACTACTACTACTACTACTACTACTACTACTACTATTACAACTACTACTACTCTACTACCACTACTAATACACTGTAGTAGTAGTAGTAGTGCCGCTACAACAACCACTAGTTCTATACCACGATATATTATGATAGGTGCGTCTACGACTACGGTATGACTACTGATCTCATACGCGGTGGCGTACGACGGCGGTCTGCCACATCAACGCCACCGACCCTAATTTTGCGGGGAGGGGTGCGGGTCACGATGGCGTACCAACTCGATGAGCTGCGACAGCCTGAGGCCCAACTTGACTAAAACGGTGTCGGTGTTGTTGCTGACCGGCCGGATGAGCCGGTTGTAGTTGCTGAGCAAGTCGTCGTACAGTCGCTTGGCGTCCGGATTGCATAGACATCCGACGGCCGACAGCAACAACAGCGGCAGTGACGACGTCAGGTGCGCGCAACCCCGGCGGCGGCGTCGTCCCCGGAACTTTTTGTTACTACTTCCGCTGTGGTTGTTGTTGTTGTTACTGTTGCTGTTGCTGTTGCTGCTGTTGCTGCTGCCGTTGTTGTTGTTGTTGTTGTTGTTGTTGTTGTGGTGGTGGCGGCGGTGGTGGCGGTAGTAGTTGTCACCGTCGGCAGCGTCAGAAACGACGGGCGGCATCGCGTTTTCCTCGGCGGCGGTCGACTGAATCGATAGATAATCGGCCTCGCCGCTGTGGACGACGGCTCGTCGGGTCGCGGATGCTGTGCGTACTGCACACTGTGTGACGAGAGACCGCGCCGGGCGCGCCGAGCGGTGCTGACGGCGCGGAGCGCTCCGGCCCGCCGATCTATAAGCCGCCGCGCGCACGCCCTTCGAGACCTCTCGACAACGGCGGCGGCGGCCGTCAGACTTGTGCGCGGTGCAGGTCGTCGGCCGATGGAGTCGCGTACGACACGTCGTCCTCATTTTGCCAAGTAGATATTGTGTATGTGTGTGTGTGTGTGTGTGTGTCATTAACGCCGTAATTGCTTTTTTTTTCCGAGTGGACTTTTGAACGTTGTTTGATCGTAATTTTTCGATTAAAAACGCGCTCACCGCCGCGTCTCGAGCGTGTAACGGAAATAACAAGAGACAACAATACGTATGTCCGACACGCCCGTAGCAATTCACCGTGGCGGTTTTTCAGGTGTGGGTGGTTGGGGTGGTATCGTTGGTAAAGGCGTTTGCTATTGGATTGTGGTGGGGGTTGGTGGGGCGAGAGTGATAGATACCCTTTTAGGTCAAAGCGTCCACGGTCCACGACTGTAGAACAGATTTTATTCGTAATATACTAATATATATATATATATATATATATATACATGAACCGCATTCACGACGAGTTATTTTCAGTTCTGCGCCAGACGCTATTGTATAATATTGTACAGTATAGGTTATTACAGCAGTATTTTTTATGTTTTTTACCACGAGACTTTTTTGGTACAGATGTTGTGCTCAAAACTATCCACAGTATAATCTCTTTGAAGACCAAGTCCGAACCATAAGTCTTAAGAAATTGTTTTTATAGTTTATAAATAATTTTAAATATTGGTTACTTGAGACACGCACAAACGTTCAGCGCCGAAGCCGATAACTCTGATAAAAAAGTCTCGATATCGTGACATTCTTAGTCAACACATTTCTATTGTCAAACGCGACAATTTCTACACATTTTATGCAAACCTTTACGCTTAAAAATTAAACTAAAATATCTGAAATATTTCACTTAATTTAAATTACACTTAGAAAATACAAATAAAGTACATTAAACTTATCTATAGGTTTTAATTAAATAAATTGAAGTAGTTATTACTATTCGTCAAATACTACGTTATCTATGACTCTGACGTATGTATATGTTTTTATTTTTTTGGTGTCTATTTTTCAATCTCGGTTCGTGAAAGTTGTTTTAATAGCTATAATCAATTTTATGAGTGATATCAATAATATTAATTCGATATATAGACAATTTATAATTATTTAAATTTGATAAAAAGGTCTTGGTGGTTACATTTTTTAAAATTATTTTGACACTAATATTAGTAATATTCAATAAAAAAAAAATCTGTGTATCTGATGTACTGACAAAACCTTTATAATAGTTATTGAAAAATAATCTTCAAAGACCAAAAATATCGTTTGTTGTTACTCATTTATACTCGTATTTAAACTAAATTAGAATCCCAAAAAAATGTATTTCTCCTCTTAATTCACCAAAAACTTTTCCCATGTATTTAGATTATTACACAACTTTTATGTTCAAGGTTCGGATAGTATTTCGAGTTATTTATAAATTGTACAGTATAATATATTACTATATTTAGTACACATTTACCAATAGATTATTTATAGTCTTATTGATTTACATCAATCATTATGTCTAGGTTTTATTAAAATCAATCAATCAATGCTATTAAAATATTTATATAGCAATAAAATAATAAACCAATTTACACGCATGACATGTATTTAAAATTTATGCAAGTGGGTCTGCAGTATAATTAATATTATTTAAATTTATTATTATAGCATTATATTCTAAGACCACACCAGCTCTCTTGAACCTTCAAAGTTTACAACAAATGCAATATACACAGCGCAACAATTTTACCAAAATTAATTCATAATTCATAGTTGATTGATGGTCAAAAATGTTAGTATAGTAATTTTTAATTCGACTCACATTTATTAATTTTTCCAGAAGCAGCAATTTACTAGAGTAGAAAATTTAAACGAATTAATCCAGTAATAAATGGATTTATATTTAAATACAGTAGAATATTTTGAAAATTATTAATATTATTGCATATTTCGACTATAAAAACGTAAAAAATGCATATTTTATGGTATATTTCGTTACTAGCAGTTTTTATCATACGACAGTATATGTATTGACGCTGTTCAAAAATACCTATTGAAGATATACTTAAATTAAGATCTAACAGAAGACCGTCCAGTTTTGAAAATTTTAAACACCATATAATTGTTTTGTGTAATACATTTGAATAGCGTGAAAAGTTAAGAATATTAATTAATTAGTTTCTTAAGACGTATGATTTTTTTTAATGTACCTATATATCATATTTTTTGACGTATATAATATCAATTTTATATTTTTGTATATTATTTTTAAAAAACCAAATGCATATTTTACAAATTTTTATTGCATATAAATCCTAACCCTAGTTAAATATGTAATAACGGCAGGTGGCGACTGTTGTGTAACCGCAAGTCGATTTGGTCGTGGCTGCGTAATCAATAATAACTAATAACTAACAATAGTAATAAGCTATTAACTAATGAGTGTTTGGGAATACGTGAGCAAATGGTCTTGCGGGTTTCGTTTACTACGCACGGACGGATATATTCACCTGAGCACGTGTGGTGCGCAACTGCGTGAAGAATTAGATCACACGATCCACCGATCACTATGGTATAAATACATCATATTACTTCTACCCACACTCATTGGCTGTCACATACCATGGTAGTAATATTAAGGTTTGGCAATTATCAAAAATCACGGTAGTCAAGATGCGTCGAATTCACACCGGCCGATGACTAATAATTAACGTACTGGAGAATGAGGAAACTCGCTGGCGACGGCTTCCGGTCTGAACTGTAATTGCGATAATAAACAACGTTCGCACACGGTTTTGTCTGTTCGTGCATATTTGTTTTTGTTTTTGTTTTGTTTTTTTTTTTTTTTGTTTTTTTTTTTGTCATATTTTTAACAATTGTTAAGGAAGCGCGTTAAAATATAATAACACACACTTTGCAGAATACGTCTTTCATGGTCACACCATATAGCGATAAGTGTGTCTATCAGTAAGATTCAAATTAAAACGTATAACGTGTGTTATTAAAATAATACTATGCTAATATTTAGAGCTAGGATTTTAATAACTTTTACATTTTTTTTTTTTTTTTATAAGTGCTTTTTAGTTCTAACCAAAAACTAAATTTATTTTGTTATAAAACAATTTAGAATACATAATTTTTATTTAGCATTTTTTGTATTAATATATTTTATTGCATTTTCAAGGTTATTTTTTCAAATATTACGTTAATTTTGTGCATTTAAACTCTATTATATTTATTTTAAGCTTTTTTTGATATAAGATGTATAGGTAATCCCAATTACCTACCTACTCCAGTCCATTGATATTGAAAAAGTAATATAATTAATTTTCAACTCAAATTTGAATATATTTGTTTAATTTACTTTTAAAACAAATTCCTACCTTTTTATAAAAATGAATAAATAAATTATTATTTTAAAGTTAAATTTTTTTCACTTATTTAAGTAAGTTTTTTGGTCATTTTTAAGTTCATTTTTTAGAGGTTTTAGGTCATTTTTGCATTTTTTTTTTTTTAGTACATTTTTGTGTATTTCTTAGTTCATTAAAATCCTAGCTCTACTAATAATGAACAAACAAAATGTGTTTGTTCATTAGATTTTATATCTACCTAAGTGATAGTGTTAGGGTTTAACTTAACTTAAGTTACAAATTACTATTACTTTTAAAATTATTTAATGGTAAATTAATTACATTTCCCCGTGATTAATTTATACATAATTTAAATAATGTTTTGGTATAAAATTATTCGTGTATACTGTATATTTTAAATACCAAATGATAATATATTATTTAATTGTATCATACAAGTACGAACTTTTGACAGTAATACATTTTTTTAATAGCTATTTGAAAAAAAAAAAATAAAAGTTTTTATTTTAATAACTGATTATAATTAAGTATAGTAAAATCAATTTAAAAAGTAAAAAACATAGAATCATGTAAAATATCTAAATATTTAACAAAATCAACGAAAACCCATTAAAAAAAAAAAAAAAAAACACTCATTACTTTTTATTGTCAATTCTTCCCGTTTAGAACGTATCAGATTTCACGCGTATGTAATTATACTCACGTAATACATCTATAGTATCTATAATATTCGATGTACCTACGCGCTTTGCGCCCTCTTCGTTATCAACCGTTTAAAACGATCGGTGGTCATTAACGGCCAAAATCCCGGCACCATTCCATTAAAACACTTATTATTTTGGTCATTCTTCCGTTTAGAACGTATCAGATTTCACGCGTATGTAATTATACTCACGTAATACATCTATAGTATCTATATTACTGATGTACCTACGCGTTTGCGCCCTTCGTTATCAACCGTTTAAAACGATCGGGTCATTAACGGCCAAAATCCTGGCACCAGC